GTGGAAAGAGTGATAAAGACCCAAATAGGTCAGATAACCGCTCCAAAGTTGACTCTGAAGTAGACCTTTTGAAAGACTGCAATCAGAAACAAAGGAAAAAGAATGCCGCGCAAACCCAAAGGTTAGGTCGAGAAAGTATGACATCTTCAACTATGATGCTTAGAAGTAAAAGCAATAAAAGATAAACTTAGGAAAAGCTTACCGATACTTTGTTGGCAGAACCATATTTACTTTGAATCTGCACACATGACAAACCAATCATTATGGACATAATTAACTTGAAAAGTATAAAATGAGAGCATAACTTTTCACACTCACCTTCAATGAAAAGTCAGATAGATCTAACAGAAGCAACTTTGCCTCAAAGTAGTGAGCTAAAGCCTTGGCAAGCACTTGTTGGTAAAGTTCTGTAAGACATGAAGGGGAGAAAATTCTAATTATCATGAAGGTAACAGTAGAAACATTAAGTTCATCAAACAGCATATACATATTCCAACTAACCTGCTGGCCCTGAAAGAAGAATAGTACGGCTTGCCGGAGCAAGATTCCGTGTATACTTAGAAACCTCCGCATGTTTCAAATGGACATAGGCAGCACTTGTTAGCAACACCCGTGTCTGCTCTCTGTCATCACGTGTAGAATGATAAGGGTTATATCATGGAAGAGATTGAAAATTGAATTAATTAAAAGAAGTTGCAGCATCGGATATTTGGTCACATTAAGCTTTCATTGAGCATATCAAGTACCATCGAGGGCGTGGTTTAGAACTAGTATCGAGTAAACTCTTCTCATTCAACAATAGTTACATCATAACAACTAAATCATGATCATGATTTTCCATAAACGGAAAAATATCGCGATAACATAGTTACTCTAGAATTAGGACAATACAATGTTGGAGCATATTGATCTTCCTTTTACGTAAATACGAAAACATGCACTGAATTTTCACAAAAGTGTGTGTGTATATATATATATATATAGAAATCCAACAGTGTAGGGA